GATTTAAGAACAAAGGATTGGTTATGGGAAGAGTGGTCGAGGTCACTGAAGGAGAGGAGTCTGGGCATCATGCAGAGGATCCTCTAAAATGATACTGAAATTATCAAGAATTTTTAGAAGGGAAGAATTGGAGATGACCAAACAAGGAACTAGAGATTCCACAAGCAGTTCAAAACACAGAAAAAAAAAATTACAGATAATAGAGAGATTTGAGGAGGTAAAACCATGAGAAGGGATGAATCAATGGATGGATGGATGGATAGATAGATAGATAAGATAGGTAAGATAGGTAAAATAGGGAAAGAAAAGACAACCATAGAAAAATAATGTTTAAGGAGCAATAATTGAAGCAGAAGACCAAGAAATGTAAAGAGAACCCCAATGTCACTGTTCTAGAAGTCAAAAAATAGATGAGTTTCAGGAGATTGAAAGTGAAGGCTGGGTCAAACACTAGGGTAGCAGTAAGAACTGCACTCAGTTCCCTACCCGGTTTCTTTTCAGTGACCCACAGCAAGCTAACTCAACATCACCAAATCTGAGTTCATTATCTTCCTTCTCCTCAATCCAAGCTTTATTCCATGTCAGTAAGTGATCCCATCAAGTTGCTCAAGGCAGGACCCTTCCTCTCCAGTCCTGCACCCAGTTCATCTCTAAACCTTGCACAGACCCTGCAGCTTCTGTTCCCACTGCCACACCAACCATGACCCTCTCATCTTACCCACTTACCCAATGTTCTCCAGTCTTGGCATCTCCAAACCTTTCTCTGCTTTGCCAGAGTGAGCTTTGAGAAATACAAACATGCCACTCACTGTCTTTTTAAAACTTTACCGATTAAGCTGGAAAGCTTCAACCTCGGGTCCTTGCCCCTTGTCAAGCCTCACCTTCTCTCCCACTCTCTGTGGCTCTGCTCCAGTGAGGCTGGGTGCCTCTGGGGACCTCACGCAGGTCCCATCCTTCTATTTCAGGACTCCACATATAACTACTCCCTTGGCCTGAACTGAGTCTCAGTTCCTTGACTCCAAATAACCCCGAGTGATCAACCGAGACACCAGATCTTCAGCAGGCCTCTCTTCAAACACGGACTGGACTAGGTCCCCTGGCCAGGAATTCCCAGAAAGGTGGTCTGGGTCTCAGTAGAAATAAATTACAAATCCACAAGACAAAGAAAACCCAGAGGGTGGGGCCCAGGGCCTCTCCCTCCATAAGGGAACTTTTTTGTTTAATATAGTCACAGCTTTAAAAAATATAGTTTAATATATTTACTTTTTGTTGAGTATTTTACAATATTTATATTGTAAAATTTCATTTGAAATGACAATCTCCCTATATAGCAGTTCAAAAACTGCTAAAACAGATGATCTGTAAGTTCCTTCCTCCCCAGTTCTAAGAATCTTCTTGCAGGTATTATCCTTTATTTTTGAAAATAATCACAAAGAAACCCCAACCTTCCCAAGGTACAATCAAAATAAGGATCGGGGTTGCTACAAAGCATCTGGCGTAATCCTGGTCTCCCAGAAGATACAGGGCTGGGCAAAAATAACACAAGTCACATTGAGACAATGCATGAAGAACTAGGAGTATCTGCTTTCAAAACAAACCAGGTTCACCTCCTGCAGCATGCTGCCGGCTCACCTTGGCCAAGGATTCAGAAGCATCCTAATCACTGATCTGCTGAGGTCCATGTCATTGTGGCTAAGAGCTCAGCCTCTGAGGCAGTACAGAGGCTCAAAACTCGGCTCTTTCCAGGCACAGTGTCACATGCCTGTAACCCCAGCAGCTTGGGAGGCTGAGGCAGGAGGATTGAGTTGAAAGCCAACCTCAGCAAAAGCAAGGCACTAAGCAACTCAGTGGGATCCTGTCTCTAAATAAAATACAAAATAGGCTGAGCTCAATCCCCCATACTCTGCCCCAAAACAATAGGTGGCACAAATAGATTTTTTAAATGGTTAAAAAAAAAAAAAACTCAGCTCTCCCACTCAATAGCTTGACCATTCTGCCTCAGTTTCCCACCAAAAAAAAATGGAAACAATAATAGCCACCTGACAAAGAGATGCTGAAGATTCAATAAGACACAAGATTCATAGCACTGGCACCTAAAAGTCAGCTATAGGTATGTGCTCCAGGTATAATATGGAGTGACTCTCCCTCTGAGGTTTTTGTTTTTTGTTGGGTACTGGGGATTGAATCCAGGAGCACTTAACCATATAGCCACATCCCCAGCCCTTCGCATTTTTTATTGTTTTGAGACAGTGTTTCATTAAATTGCAGAGGCTAGCCTCAAATGTGCAATCCTCCTGCCTCAGCCTCCCAAGTCACTGGGATTACAGGTGTACACCACCACACCTGGCTCATTGAAGTTATTAACAAGTTCCTATTGACTTAAAACTTAAACCTCTTTTCTACAACATTCTTTTTCTTTCACAGTCTTGGCAAAAGGCTTATTTGCCTACTTGTCCTTTTTGTGGTTGTGACAAATATATCATGGTGCTTAAGGTCACATTTTTATGTGCCTGGCATTTGATTCATTTACCAGAAAGTAAAGCACAGATCTCTTTGGGTTTTGACTGTTGAGGTTTTTTAATTAATCCTATTTTATAAACTTTCATTATACAAACAAGAAATATCCTTATCTAAAAACCACTCCTGCCAAAACTGGGGCTGGCAAGGAATCCCTGTCTAGTCAGAGAGTCAAACAGAAATGTTCTCTGAAGACCATGATTTTCCTTGGCCATATAGGCAGACATAGAAATCAATGCCAGAATAGCAGTGATATTGACAGGCGCACTATTTTCTTGTTTTACTTCCTTCTGACAGTTATAACCATAACTGAAATTCATACAATAAGAAAAAAGCAACCAGTCTGTGAATAGACAGGCAGGGTTTGCATGAGACCCTCCATCACACGGTATAGACACAAACTCACACAACCCAAAATGAATTTGGTTCTGCATCACGAGCTCTCTCCGCCACACTCTCCTCTCTCTCATTCTCTTTTCCTGCTATGAATTAGACTTGGATCAACAGTGAAATGCTATGACATTATTAAGTGACAAGAAGTTAGGATAAGTTGAAACTTCATCCAAGTCACTCCACAACCGTACATAGGGACCGAGACTAATGGACTTACCATGAATACACAGCCTGGAAATATAACAAGAGAGCACTCTTCAGGACATGAAAATCAGATGCAATTAACCTCTGTTTTTAAATCATATTTTTAAATTTTTTCATCATGTCCACTCATTCCCCAAACTTACCGGTCAGCAGCTTCTATGTCAAAACAAAACCTTCTGTCAATGGAGTCCGTATGCCTTTTGGTGCAGTCTTTCAAAAAGAACACCTCTCCATCGCCCTGCAAATAAGCATTACATTCTCAAAACTACAGAGCAAGCATCTGCACTCCAAGCCGCCAATCCTGGGGGAGCCAAGGTTCAAAATTTTAAGTCCCTTCTCTTTACCCTGATCTCTTTCAAACAAACACAGTTTAGAATCTAAACTGTTAATCATTTTTGTCATTGTCCTGTTCTTAAGGTTTTCTAGCTCTTGCCGACTACAGTAACATTTAACCAGACTGGACCGATGCCAAGTTTAAAAGGTAAATTAACAGCAATTTCCAGATGCTAGGACGCTATTCTCCTAATGTCCTCTTTTCTAAAGTGTGCAACTTTGTTTTACTTCATATCATGCCATATCGTATGTCAGAGTCAATATGTGACTGCCATGATTTAGATGTGAGGTGTCCTCCAAAAGCTCACGTGAGACAATACAATAAAGTTCATAGGTGAAATGACTGGGTTACGAGCGCCTTAACCTAATCAGCGCATTGATCCCGATAGGGATTATAGGCAGGCAGGGATGGCTGGACAAGGTGGGTCAATAGAGGCATGTCTTTGGCGGATGTACTTTGTCTTTATTGAGAGGAGTGCGCGCTCTGCTTCCAGCTCCAATTTCCCAAGTTGCTGAAATCCACCACACTCTTCCACCGTCATGTCCTGCTTCACCGCAGGCCCCATAGAATGGAGCTATCCTTCCATGGACTGAGACTTCTGAAACCATGAGCCCCAAAGACATTTTTACTCCTCTAATTGTTCTTGTCAGGTCTTTTGGTCACAGCAGTGAAAAAGCTGACTATAACAGTGATCCTTTTTGACTTATAAACATTGCAACCGCACATGGAACAACCCAAAAGTACATCAAGGGCCCTACATCAAATATAATGACCATGGAAAGCTGAACCACTCAATCTACGCAGTTGTTTCCTGAGGCAGTCACTGAGATTATCTTTACTTATTTTTTCTTTCTTTACTATAATGCACTATATTTCCCTAACCACTGTTTAATTCAGCTTTTTTGCTGCTGTGACTCAAGGACTCGATCAGCACAACTGTAGAGGAAGAAGAGTTTATTGGAGGGCTCATGGTTTCAGAGGTCTTAGTCCATAAAAAGCTGCTTCTATTTCTTGAGGCTCAAGATGAGGCTGAACATCCCGGTGGAGTGTGTGGCAGAGGGAAGCTGTTGGTATGGTGATCAGAAAGCAGAAAGAGCATTTCTACTTTCTAGATGCAAAATGTATACTCCAAACAAGCCCCACCCCCTCCAGCCACCCCCTATCACTTCAGTTACCACTCAGTTAACCCGTATCAGGGCATTAATTCACTGATTGGGTTAAGATTCTTATAACCCAATCATTTCTCCTCTGAACCTTCTTGTGTTGTCTCACACATGAGCTTTGGGGGACACCTCACATCCAACCCATGACAACCACCTCTTCTAAGAACATGAGATAAAAGATAGAAAATGGGAGACAAAAGCAATGCAGGTACTAAAGAAAAACCATAAGAAGTTTGAGTACACACTTCTAGAACACTTTATAGAATATGAGGATCTAGAATATTTTTAAAACATTCAAAAATACAATTTTAAAACATCAAATTCTAAAATATACTTATTATGAGGGTAAAACAGAAAGATGCCACAAAGCACAAGTGCCTTAAGACTTGAATCCACTTCAACAGAAAACTTTGTCAAAGCCAACGCTCAGTCGTAACCCCATCTGCCTCCCAGAATGACATCCTTGTGTCCTCTCCACTGCAGGACCCAGCACTGCCATGTCTAATTCATTACTACGTCATATGTTTTTATTACAACCTGTCTTACACTTTTTTCAGGCAGAAGCCAAGTATATTTAAACAGAAGTCAGCTTGGGTTCATTCTGTGTTCACCTAACCACACCCATCCACCCAGCAAGCCGTGAATTATCCTGATTGCTTAAAATGTGCGGCCAATCATGTTCACTATGAGGGAGAAGAGCTTTGTCTCCAGAGCATAGATTAATGTTTTAAGCTGTACCTTCTGTTTAAAACACAGAGATCGACTTTCCCACATAGCAATGCCTGAGGTCTGCTTACTCTGTTCTTACTGTTGTGCTTTTCTTTACTGTTTACTTCTTTGGGAGGAGTAGTTAGCTGAATGGGAAATACCTAAATGAGAACTCTGTATGAATTCACTTCAACAGAAAACTCAGTCAAAGCCAACGCTCAGTCGTAACCGCTTATAGAAAATGAGTAAAATTCCCTATAGAAACCTCTACACTGGTTCAGGCTCTGAACATACCATAAGTGTGCAAATCAGACCTCCTATGAAAACTCTAGGGAACCATTCAGTCACAGAAGATTACTGTGTTTACTTTACAAAACCAGTGACATAAAAGGAATCAACTGGGTTTGTTTGTTTGCTTGTTTGTTTGTTTGCTTAATTCTGACTGCAAAGACCCATGAATGCAATTCCAAAAACACAACTGTTCTCTTTGGGGGCCTATTTGGAAACAATAGAAAACAGATTTTAATCCTTAAAATAAAATTCATTTACCTGTAGTGAATAAAAACCATTAAAGTGACACCCTCCTCCACAAAGAATCTCCTTCACATAGAACAAAGTAAATCCAAATACTTACAAGCTTTCCCCCAGATCTGTGCTCGAATGGGATCATGTTGAACTTCTTGGCTGCTTTCCGATACATGCAGTAGTGTTTGACCCAGCTGGAACCAAATGGAGCAGGCCCTTCAACAAAAACATAACTTCCATGTTTTTCTTCATAAATAAGCAGATATGCATAACTCTAAGCCCATTACTAAGAAGATGATCACAATAAATAGCATCCACTACAGTTCAATAAAATGAATCAGCAACAACACTGGTTTCTAATAAAAGGAGAAAACTAGGGAAAATCAAAGGGCCCAAAGAGGTCCTTGGAGACAAGATAATAAGACATTTTCTGCAAAAACACAAGTGCTTTAAAAGCATACTTTTCAAACAGTGTGGTAGAAAAAAATAACAGTTATCTCACAACTGAAAAATCTCTTCATTTGAAGCTCTATTTTGAGTGTTGTAGGTATTAGGAGCTCACAAGAGTTCCATGTGATGTCTGGAATGGTTTAGGATTTGATTCTTGCTCCTCAAAATGACAGAATTGTAGAATTACAGTGCTGAGGAGAAAACAGCCAGTCTAGAAATCCATCTAGTGCTCTAAACCCACTAACAGCAAGTACCCTGGCAACTGCTGCCCTTGGATAAGGGCACAATCGAGGCTTTGGAAGTGAAATATGCATGGCTGGGGAGGAGCTCGGAGGTACAGAGCTAGCTTAGTATGTTTGAGGACCTGGAACTGATCCCCAGCTTTGAGGAGGGCGGGTGGGGAGTGAAATATAGAAATGAAGAGTAAGGAATTTAAGGGATTCCCAGCTCTAGTGCTGCTTCTCTTTGGAGAAGTCTATCTCTATTGCTTTTACAGTAAACCTGCTGCTAGCTTTCTTAAAAAAAAAAAAAAAATTAAGATGCGACAGGGGTAAGCAGACCATACATGCACCAGAACATTCTCAAATCCCCTTAACTCTTTTGAGTCAGTATTCCCACCATTAGAGCTCCTCCTCACTGTGTCTTTGTTAGGGATACCCAGCAGCTGAAACAGCACATGCCAATAAAAGTCTAGTCATCAGGGAAGAGTATGTGCTTAGTATGCACAAGGCTCTGGGTTAAATTCCCAGCAGCAGCAACAACAAAAAGTCCAGTTATCATAAATCAAAGCTTAGGACCAACAGAAGTTGACCATTTACCAAGTAAGGACTCTAAAAAAAGAAAGAAAAAACATTCAAACACCATAATTTCCTACACAAATGAACCTATACCTGAAAATTAAAAAAAAAAAAAATGAGGAGGCTTAAAAAAAAAAAAAGAAAAAAGCTCATTTAAAAGGAATGTGTTCAAGCTGGGGTTGTGGCTCAGTGACAGCTCTCGCCTAGGAGGAGTGAGGCACTGGGTTCGATCCTCAGCACCCCATAAAATAAAGGTATTGTGTCCACTCACAACTAAGAAAAATATATTAAAAAAATAAAAGGAATACATTCAACTCTAGAGAAACCTATTTATGGTATCTTGGTGGGATGAGGCAGTTGAAAGGGTTTACCAGATCACAATAAAAATTTCATGTCAGATGATTATTGATCCAAAGATCTCAATTTGAGAACTACTGAGGTTTGTGTCATAAATAACCAGTGTTTGTAATTTTGGAGATATTGCATGGAGAGTTCATTTAATTTAAAAAAAAAATCTCAAAGAAGAAATGATTATGTTCTTGTCTCTTTAATATACAGACACTTAAGCTTCAAGCAAATGCCTAAGAAACGACAAGGCCAAATCTCAGATCAGAGTCTCTGCACCCAATCTCAAGGTCTTCCCTCTAATTAAGCCACCATGCCCTCCTTACCCCCACCAGATCCTACTCAGCAGGCTCTGAGCATGGTGGCCAATGAGGCTCTCGCCCACCTAAGTGGCAACTTGGACGTCCGTCTCAGACCCTCAATCCAGCACTTACTAGCCCTGTGATCTGGGGAACACTGTGACCTCTGCCTCCATTACTCATTGATAAAGAGGGTAATAACACCTCATAGCAATGTTTTATGAATTAAGTGAACACAGCATATACAGAGTTAAACAGAGTGCCTGGGCTACAGTAAATTAGAATTTAGCCACTATAGTTTTTGTTGGTTTTCTTCCAGTCTAATTTGAGCTCCATTTCTCTCAAAGTAAGTTTAGTAAGTTATGAATGTCTCAAGTTCCCTGTGATTTTCACTCGGGCATATCGTACATATAAGAATTCTAACATTCTCGTGACTCTATCCTGGATTTTAATTTAGTTATTTCAAATTCAATTTTTAAAACTGGAATTGAGATGAGAAGTGAAGACTGTGGCATTTCAGATTAAACAAGGGCAAATGGAAAAAGCATCACCATCTCCTGATGACCTAGACCATTAGCTTCAATTCCAAGCATAGAGGGCACATAACCTGTTCCCCAAGTACTATCCACTACTAAACTGGTCAGTTTCAAAGTCCTGTGAATCAGGCACACTTAACAAATGAAAATTATAAATCCCTGTAAGTACAGGTAAGGATGAGAAGGGAGGAAAACAGTAAATATAGACACATTTCATATTCTCATCCTTTCTACTAACTAGCAACAGGGTTCCATCACAGAAGAATCAAATTTGAAGAGCTTAACTGTTTAAAGAGACACCAAATTTTTAAAGCTTGAAAGAGATTCGACTTATTTAATTTTCCAAACATCACCACCAAATGTACTGCATATTCACAACAACAGCAATTGCTATGGTTTGTCCCCCAAAGATTTCTGTGCAGGAAACTTGGTCCCCAAAGCAACCATAATGAGATGATAGGCCTCTAAGGATGATTAGGTCATAAGGCTCCGTCCATGGGAGGGATTGATGTAGGACCAGGTTAGTTCTCACAGGAGTAGGTTATAAAGTGAGGTCAGTCTGGGCTCTTGGCAATCTTCTGCATGTGGCCATTTGCCTTTCTGTTTCTTTACCATCTTATGATGCAGCTTTTCAGCCACCAGAATCTTAAATCAAATAAACCTTTATAAACTATCCAGCCTCTTGTGTTTTGTTAGAGCAACCCAAAATGAACTAGAAAAAGCACCAAGACTAAAAACCCTGTAAAATAAATGAGGGTGCCACATGGGAATATTTTTTATAATAACCATCTGCAGTCTTCATAACTTTAGTAAGAATAAAGTATCTGAGATGGTGTGGGTAGAAATAGTTTGAAGAAAGAGAAAGATACCCATCTGGACCTTAACATGGGGAGAGGCAAGGTTGAGGGGAAGGGGAAGGAGAGGGTATGTATGTATGTATGTATGTATGTATGTATGTATGTATGAAGTATTTTTTCCAAACAAAATATGCCTCTCAGGACAGAAGGGGGGCAAAGAAAAATAATTTCCGCAAATGCCACAGTAATTATAATAAATAGTTTTAAATACAGTCTGTGGGGTCTTGGTTCCAGAATCTCCAATGTCCCCACAATCAATACCAAAACCCTGGGATGTTCAAATCAGTCCCTTATATCAAATCGCATGTTATCTGCATAGAACCTATGCATACCCTCCAATATACAGTAAGTCCTCCCTAGAATACTTATGACACTCTTACAACATAAATGCTAAATAAATGGTTGTTATACTGTGTAGTTCAGGAAAGAATGATAAAAAAAGTATGTACATGTTCAGTACAATTGCAAGGGTCTGTTTTTGTTTTTTCAAGTACATTCAATTTGCAGTTGGAAATCCACAGAGGACCAACTGCAATTGGATTTTTAATCAACCTCCACCATTCAGTCAGGGTCTGAGAGCCTCTTACTTTTTTCCTGTACATACAGGTAGCCTTCTTCTGTAAACTGACTTGCTCGTTTGTGGTCCTTGGGATTTTGTCTGATTTTGTTCATAAGTTCTTCCACTTCAGACCTTGTTCCTTCAAACCGGTTCCGTGTCTGAAATGGACAAAAGATAAATTTAAATTTCTCATGAGGTTTTTCTGCATGAATTTTAAAGTCTCTGAATAACCATAATCAAATTTGTAGAATTCCTTTTTTGTAATTGTCAAAATATCCCAATTCTTTTTTCAAAGGGGGGAAAAAAATCGGTGGTCAAACAGCCAACAGAGAAGCACAAGCCACAATAACCAAAGAATATGCACTTCTGAAACTTTAACACCATAAATAATTTCACTGCCCAACATAAAATTTCCTGCTTTTAGTTCTCATGTTATTATTAAATCTTAGATTTTAAAAAACAATAGATCATAGAATTTCTACTTGGGAAGTAAGATTTTTGCAACAACCAACATGACTCAGATTGTTACGATTATCCTAGCAATCTGAGCACTAGGAAACTGGACATCTTAATTCCTTTTTGCAAATTTATAAACACAAGAGTATATTTTTCCAGGTTGTGGTAACTGCACTTGAAAATGACGTTTCTTCCCTGAAGTGAGGGAAATCTCACCTACAAATAACGTCTCTGATATCTGAAGGGACAAATCACATTTCCGAAACCCAGGAGACTCAGCATGCCAATGTCTGTCAGGCAACTATGCGGAGAACGAATATGGAAGGTGAAGTGACAAAATTACCCAGGAAATTGTGATGCGTCAGCACCACCAGGTTTCTGGACATTTCTTTCATCCAGACTCGAAAATAATCGTATTAATACTGAAAAACTGCTGATGTGAAACTGTGGAGGAGCCGAGATAGAAAATTATTATTGAAATTTCTCCTCTCCCCTCCCTGCAATGAAAAGGGTTACCAAAGGTCTTCAGAGTGGAAAAATGGTAGAATCGTCCCTTTTTTCCTAGAGGGGTGGGGAGTCTGATTAATAGATTAAAAAAAAAAAAAAAAAAAAACCTAACTTCAGAGGTTGATTTTAAACACAAAGCCTCAAAAAATAAATCTTTTGTGTACTTCATGAAAGTACTCATGTGTTGCATCCGCTCCCTCTCCTTCCCATGGCTCATCTCCAGGGATCCCTGTCCCACCTTTATTCTGATCGCTCTTTCCTCCCTCCTTGTTTTGCTGAGATTCCTTCCAACCTTCATTTCTTCTCATGTGTATATTAAATATTCATATGCACAATTAGGCAAATTATAAATTGGGGTGAAAATTCACATATGTGTGTATATTAAATACACATATGCACAAATACACACACATTCATTCTCTCTCGTTCTCTGACCCACTCATGTCAATGCTCAAATTGTCCTAAATTTGTCCAGTAGAAACTCCTTCAACCTGGCTACCATCTTCTGACACGAGTTTACGTCAGAAGTTTATGTTTTCCTTCTCCTAGAATCAGTCATTTCTCCAGAAGTCTTGTTGGTTTCAGTGAGAGGCAGTATTCAGAAAACAAGATCTGGACACCGCGGGCCCACAGCTATGGGGCTAACGTTGCTGAATCTTCCCAGGAGACAGACCTGGGCGATACCCCTCCACATTTATACACTTACACAAACACAGATCAGTACTTCCACATCTATGTGAGCCAAACCCATGACTTTCTCCCAATAAATCTAATTTTACTCTAATGATTTAGGATTTTTTCTAGTCCATCCCTTTACATATTTATAAATTTCTTCTCAAACACTGAGAGACTTGACTGTCAGTATCCTAAATCTCTCTGCTCAGTTTGTTCAATTAACCTATCAGCAGAAGGAAAGCAAGCTCCCAAACACTCCGGCCACCTTCTACGCGCTACGTCTACATCCTCTGCCACAATCCCCTGCTGCAAATGCCACCATGCCAGGCCTCCACCTCGCTGCCCTAATTCCTCAGGGCCTGTGTCTCACAAAAAGAAGAAAACATTCATTTTAGCTCTTTACTTAATAGACCATGTTTATTTAGGTAAATTATAAACTGGGGTGAAAATCACATTTTTTGGGGGGGGGTTTGGACAAAAATCAATAGAATAGCTAGAACTTAACAATTCCCGATTTCTAATTCTAGGTGCTTATGAAGATGCCTATATTAGGCTATGAATGTCACAACAGTTCACATTTGAGTACTTCACACTGTGACTGGCACTACCAGAAACACTTTACGGTGCTTTAACCCAAATGACCTGAGAGGCAGGGTGCAGCCCAGCTCCATCCAATGTCACAACCATACCACTGCCAACGTCCTTTCCTTCCATGTTTCAGCGAACATTTTAAAACAAACCAGCCTTGAATGAAGCCTTATAAATTAAGCCTTTTATTATAGCGCCCATCTGGCCATAGCGGGGTTGCATCTGGCGGCCAAGGTGGAATCGAGACACATTTGACCACACCTGGAAAACTGATGGGTCAAATGAGGCACCACGCTTAGGAGAAATGGAAAAGGAGAAGGAAGAGCTGTACACACCAAGTTGTACACAGAAATAAGACTTTAGGGTACAGGCAACGGTTCCATATACAGATTGCCATTTTTCATGAAGCCTTCCCTTCCTGGCCCCATGACTTCATTCATGGGGCAAAAGATGGCAGAGTGTAATTCAAAACATGAAGAGGATTTCATGAAACCCGTTCCACACCAGGAGCAGCCCTACAAAGCCCTACTCAAGTAACCTTCCCAAACACACACACATACTCAAGTTCCACATCATCCCTGCAAGTGCTTTATGCATAGGGAGGAGACAGGGGACAACAGTGGAGTGGCAAATCCTGGGCAAACAGCCCATGGGGTCTAAAGACCCTAAGACACCTTACACAGAAAACCAGACGGGCTCTGATTAGGATCAGTGAGAAGTGGAAGTGAGTGTACTAGTAGTGCCTAAATCCGAGCTCTGATAAATGGGAGTCCTGTGTTACACATTGGCTGTTAAGCTCCAGCGGAACCAGAAAGTTGTTTCTCAAATCCGTCTTTACTGATCCCGGATACACCAGGTCCGACCCATCTTCTTCCACGATGCTGAGCCTGAAACTGTGGACCCAGCACAAGTGTGCTCAAGTCCAGTGCTCGCCCTGTCCAGTGGGCAGGATAGTTTGAGAAGGGATTTCTCCTTTGGCTCCTTTTCTTTATCCTTCAAATTAGAATAAAAGAAAAATCTACAACATCTGCTTTTATGAAGACTAAACGTGCATAGTTCAAATTAAGTCACTTAGGGCAATCATCAGCACACAGTAACAAAATTAATTTAGGCAGTACTATTTTACTATTGTTTTATTATAATTAAGCCATGGGGGGGATCAATATTGATTTTCTAACAAAGGAAAATATTTTCTCATACTGTTAGACACTACTTAGCCATTCTTAGTATCTGATAGACTTTTAGAGATTTTCAATAAATCCTAAAATTTCTGTTATTCCTTTCAAAGAAGAATTCCAGTCTTCCTTACCCCATAGTCTTCTGGGAATAAGAATCACAAAAGTTCAGTTACTTTTATAAAATATCCTTTAATTTGGTTGCAATTTCCATTCTTCTGAAATCTATTTTCTAAAAGCCATCTTGCTACTTTCTTGCTTTCCATTTATTACTCAAGATTACAGAAAATGGATGAAGACAGAATCCCTCAAAAAAGTCTAACCATCTTTGAATAGAAAAAGGTGTAACCAGATAAGGGGGAAATACATTGTTCTTAGTTTAAAAAAATAAAGTTCAGCTTTTTTCTGATCATACAGTAGGTTTTGCTACTTAATTTACTAGAATAACAAAACACTGACTAAAAGTACCCAAGTTAAAGCAGAGTTAATTGTAATATTTAGTTTTAAAATTTCAGGATATTTCATTGTCACATTAAACACACACACACACACACACACACACACACACGGATTTTCTTCCAGTAACATGTAGTTTTATATAACCAGCATTTTCTCTTTATTATACAAAAAGCTGATATCATCAAGGAAAAAGATGAAGAGCCAAGAAATAAGTAAATGATAGCACCATTGAGGTGGAACAGATAGCACAGAATGAATGACATGTTTCAAAGATGAGGGATTTCTGAAGGGAAGAGAATTAGCTAAGAGCAAAACTGAAGAGCCAGGGGCAGTGGTGCTGTGTACCTACTGCCTCAACCACTCAGGAGGCCGAGGCAGGAGAATCACTTGAGCCCAGGAGTGCCCAGTCAGCCTGGGAGATTTGGCAAAACTCTGTCTCTTAAATAGAAGAAAAAAAATTAAAGCCTACCTCCTAGACTGGGTGTAGCTCACTGGTAGAGCCAGTGCTTAGCAGGCACAGGACCTGGATTCAACCCCAGCAAGACAGAGAGGAATGGAGAAAGACCCCTAGATCAGGCATTCCCAATACTGAAGGCAAGTTCGAGAGAAAGAATAGCTTCTACATGAATGAACTACACGAGTCACCTCAGAAACATCCAGAATAAAACCGAGAGAGGAATATTTAGACAACAGAGTAAGGATTTAGGAAGTTCACTGATGACAATTCATACATTTAAACTTTTTTAAAAAAAGGTTTGTTTTAGTTTTTGTACTTTATTTTTCAGTAAATTGTTGTTGTTTGCCCATTTCTCTACAGAAAATGAACGTAATTGCCAAAGGTGTAAGGTCTTATATACAAAGGATATTAACCAAGTCATTTTCTGAAATATTTCAAACGATAGCAGGACTTCAAGTTTTGCTTATACGTTCTCATGACCGAGTATGGTTCAATCCCATAGACATATCTCATCTCTCTCAAATTATTCTGGTGCATGCAAAGTAACTAGATCCCCCATGCCCTATAGATACATTACGAACATACTTTCATGCATAAGCAAGATAGCTTCACTGAAGGCCCCCGGAGGCTGATATGTCCCTAACATGTCACCTCGGAGCTTGGGGCAGAGCTGGCTTCCCAGGGAGGTAGGCTGTACAACCACACAGGGCTGTGCTCAGAAAGTCTCAGGCCAGGCTTAATGTTTTGCCGTCTCTGTCTTGAAACTTCTTCATCCTTTTTTTATAAGGAGCTCAATTTTTTTCACTTTACATGTGCCCCACAAATTCTATATATGGTCCTGTCTGAAAGTTCTCCTCCAGGTCAGCCCTGAGCTTGACAGACGAGGCCCAGATGGAAAAGCCAGTTTCAACAAGTTACATCCCCAGTTGGTGGAAGGTGGAGCAGGGAGGGGGTAGGATATCAGAATCATAATCTAATCTTCTAATGGGAAGTTGTACTGCATGTATGTATAGTATGTCAAAGTACACTCTGTCGTGTATATCTAAAGAGAATAAAAAATGTAAAAACAAGATGCATTTATGTTCTGACTTTAAAAATAATGGTAATAATCTAATCTTTTAAACGAACATCTTTATAAAACTGTTCTGCAGTTTACTATTCTTTAGACTAAACATGTTACAGAATGATTTTGAGGTGAGTATAACTAATCTATATAGATTTGGAATTATATTTTTAAATTGTTACATTATAGTAATATCCATATTTTATAATTCTTTTCACTGATCTTGGGACCACGGCAGCAGGAAAATATCTACAAGGATTCTAATAATTTTGACCCAGCTAAATGGCCAAACAATCCATGAATGGAAACTAAAACCAAACTTAATTTGGGGGTCCTCCACTGAAATAAAGAGCAAGTTGCTCCTGCGGAGACCAGAAGCTGAGGAGCTGCCCCTGCCACTCTTCAGTGGCCCCACAGGCCCTAAGAAAGCTACAAAGGGAGACAGCCTCCTCCACAGGCCTAAGACAGGCTAACCAAATCTACACATTGTGAGTTCTCTCTGTTGTCTCTTGTTTAAAAAGCTTATTTCACCTGCAGAGATTTCCAAGAAGAAACCTTTGAAATAGATCTTCCTTCAAAGCTGGCTTTAAATAAAACCTATCGTCCTACCAAATGGACTCCGAATCTTTTCTGGAGCAGCAAAGATTATAACCTACCCCATTCCCTGGGCTGGTATTGGTGCTGCTCAGTAACAAAACTGACATATCAATTATAAAAATAAGATTTTATCATCTATACTGCCAAATATGGAGAACTGTATAAAAAAGGGGGGGAGGCTTTATTCTCAATTTCTAATCGTGCAATAAATAAAAGCACAAGCAGTTAATGCCTCAAAACTGACTGTCCATCTATTTTATATCTTTCAGTGTATGCTATGAGTTTGGCCCAAAGCTGTATAACAAGGCTTCAATATTTGTTAAACATATCCTGACTAGCTTTTCCATGAGGACACATCTAGGATCAACTAAAATGTTAAGAGAAAAAAAACTTCTGCCACTTAAAATCATATATACTATACCGTTTAGTAAATATATTCTCTAAAGTCGCCTTATTCAAGATCTGCCAAAAAAGCATCTGATTTCCAAAGAAAAACAATGCAGACTGATAGCAATTGTGTACAACTGCACACTAGTGAACGTACCTAAAATGTAGGGAAGAACTTCCACTGGAAACCTAAACCTGTCTAAGAATAAAGTCATGAAGTTTGGTTAACAGAGAAGAAATTCAACTCATTATCATTTTAAAGCCTTTAACTAAAGTGGCAAGGTCTGTTAGCAGTTTCATGCACAGTGACTCAGTTAACAGAACAAAACTCATTTTTAAAACTGTTCCAGAAAGTTCAGGAAGAACCACCAGGTGGCAGAATTTCCTGAGGCTCAATTAACTGAAGAGCAGTTAGTTACTTGAAAAGCTGACCACTAGGTGGCATCAGACCCCCACTTTCTCAGTCCCCACCGAGCAGCCTGATCTTAGTTTAGTAAGACTTTTCCCATACGAAACACATGAAAAAATACACTTTCTTACACCAGAAAGTTTTTGTTTCCTTACATTCTGAATGTTGATCTGTAGTTCCATTTTGTAGTGATTGAAGTCTTTGGCAAGTTCATGGCCCTGATGATAGAAAGTAAACATTCCCTGAAAAAATGACAGCATCTAAGACAAAGGAGAAAAGGGGACATTAGCAGGGGGAAAATCCCTCACATACACTGAAGAATCACACACACTGTCAAGAGCTTCCCTCTCCTCTCACTGCACCCCACTGATGTTATTCTAAGGAAGTCGGGAGACGTCAAAGACATGGAAATGCACGTTATTAATTGGTCTTTATTTCTATGAAGAGGAAGCATTTTCTTAAGTCTCAGTGCCCCAAGACTATTTTTTACAGCAAGCCTTATAGAATTCTAAGTCATCCACTTATCCTCATCCGTCAAGAGAATCCCAATATTCACCTGTAATTGAAACCTTAACACTGTAGTTCAACTCATCCATAAGAGTAAAATCATGGAATCAGAGAGCAGAGCTCCAGTCTCTACTGGCATCCATCCCAGGCACTGCAACCCCAGTTTTGTTGACAGGGATGTTCAGTGACTTGCCCAGGGCAGAAGCAGGGCAGTAGCAGGGCGGTAATTAAGCCCTAACGTTTTCTACCAACTCCTAACCTGCCCCTCTTAATTAGAGGGCAGCTGCTTCTGCCCCACGTCAAAATGCATCGAAAAGGAGAAGAGGAGATTTGGGGGGAGAGTGAAAGAAATTCTGAGATTAATTTTCTTCCAAACAGATTAGAAGAGAAATTTGGGGCTTTAACATCAAATGGCCATCCACAGTCGATCCCTAAGCAATCCCTTGTTATAATGACTATGGGCAAATTACTGAAACTTTCTCTGCTTCAATTTCCTTATTTGTTAAGTGGGATAACAAAAATGTCTTGGAGTTACTGCATGGAATGAAGTGAACACAGTACAGTACTTAGAACAATGACTTGAACCAAGAGTGAGCACTGTAAGTGCCCAATAAATGTAGGCCATTATTATTTCATATAAAAGGAAAGCTTTAATGAGGGTTAATTTTCTCTAATTGTTTAATTTAGGTTATTTTTATTATTCCAACAAGTTTTTAATCAATCAGTACTTAATAATTCTTTTGTTTCTCAAAACCATGAATGTATTGGGTAAACTGTAATAGTATTAAACTGGAACTCAAAGTTGTATAATACAAAAAGACCATTACAATTAAAATAAATATTGAGAATGACTTCCAATGTTTCTGTTTTTGCTAAAACTCTCAGTATGAAATATCCTTGACATTTTAATTAAGAAACATACATTTATATACATGTATTTGAACATAAAAATAACTAAACCTATTAGAAAAACATTTTTGTGATAACAAAAAAATCAAGTGTTTCTTGAAACAAAATGCTAGTTTCACTCCCTGGGTGCAATGACTCAACCAGTAATCCCAGCAGCTCCAGAGGCTCAGGCAGGAGGATTTCGAGTTCAAAGCTCCAGCCTCAGCAACAGTGAGGCCCTAAGCAACTCAGTGAGGCCTCGTCTCTAAATAAAACATAAAATAGGGCCAGGGATGTGGCTCAGTGGTGGATTGCCCCCAAGTTCAATCTCTGGTACTCCCCACAAAAAGAAATGCTAGATTCACTCACAAAATTTCAAATGTTCCTCAACACAGGTTGCTTTAACCATGGTGCGGAGTGTTAGAAATCATGATTAAAAAAATAACTGTTCAATTGTTCAATGGACAGAGTTTGGATGGGTAAAGTTACTTTAAAAATGACCTTGAGTAAAGATGATCCTACAAAATGCCACTTTCACACACATTTTGATATTAATTCTTGCAGAGGGATTTTTTAAAAAGTGAAGCTTTCTAAGGAAAATGGTCAAAATTGCCCATGACTAAACTTCTTGAGATCATGTGCCAACAGAAATATGCATTGTGTGTTGCTGTACAAAAGAGGTTGAGGACCACTGATTTAGATGCGATTCCCTGACTTTGTGACTGTGTCCATCCTTCTATGTATAATGTCTGCCTTCATGTTTACACACTGTAGCCTCTAGGAACCATGTTAGATCTAAGAGAAAATACGACTATTATATTACCAAAATGTATCACCAAAATAGCAAACAACTTGCTCCAATACTCACAGGCTCCACAAACTCAAACTTCTTTCTTTCTTGGATTTCCTGAAGCTTACACACATATTCAAGAGACAGTTCATAAAAGTGCTGCCGGTTTTGCTCCACTTGGAGATCTGCCTGTGTTAAAGGAATTGAGGTTAGTCAAACTGGAGAGAGAGAAGGAAACTCTATACCAGAAGTTGGCAAACGTCAGTCCACAGGCCAGATATGGCATGCCGCCTGTTTTTGTAAATCAAGTTGTATCTAAACACAGTCAGGACTGTTTAACATGAAGTCTGAAGCTACTCTCCTGCCACAACCATAGCATTGAGCAGCTACAGCAGAGACCTCAAGGCCCTCAAGAGTCTAGAATAGTAACGCTCAGACTCTTCAGAAAAAGTCCCCCCACCCCCACCCCCACCCTGTAGGCTATAGCTAGCTGACCCCCAAGGACTAGAGGCCCAACAGTTAGGCTTTCTTCAAACGCTCGCTCCCAACCAGAACTGCCGCCAACTCAAAAAAATCACATCAACATTATTTCCATGAACAAATCTTCCAAGAATGAGGTTGGCCCGAGAGAGGAGGGGGGGAAATTCCAGTCACTTCAGTACTAGGTGATTGAGAGCAGCAGGTGAGGAACTGGCAGCCATGACACATCTGAGAAACTGGCTCTGGAAGGCAGGTCAGGGTCGGAAGCCCATCTAGGGGTGCTCATGCTCCTAAGCCCTCACCATGTCGGATCACCCCCTGAGTCCAGCTGGTCAGGAGACTATTCCAGCTTATCTCACATTACTAACTGAGAGAAGAGTACAGTTCCACAGAGACCAACAGGAAAGGCATTCTCATCCCAGAAACCACTCTCAAGGCACTGTGCAGTATTTCTCCTAACTTGCTAACTTGATTTTCAAAAGTATTGATCTAGACATTTCTCCAGAAAAAATATTTTTAAAATGGCTAATAAGCATAGGAAAAGAGGCTCAAATAATCATCAGGGAAGTATAATGAAAGACTTCCTCACATCCATCAGGACAGCTATTATGAAATGGAGAAAAGAAGTGAGGTGAGGTAGGGAAAATATGGAGTAACAAACTCTTGCTCATCACTGGTAGGAATAAAAAACGATGCAGCCACTGTAGAAAACATGCCAAAAGCACCTCAAAAAATTAAAAATAGAATTTCCGTGAGATGCAGCAATTCCACTTTAAGGTATACACCTAAAAGAACTGAAAGCAGGAACTCAGACACTTGCACACCATTCATAGCAGCATTCTTTACCCTAAACAAAAGGTAGAAGCCGTCCATGGACAGATGAATGAATAGATATTCAACAGCCTGAAATTCTGACACACGATACAACATGGATAAGCCTTAAAGATACTATGCAAGCAAAATAATTCACACATAAAAACACAAATACTGTAGGATTTCAAATATATGAGATACCCAAGAAAGTGCAATTCACAAAGACAAAATAGAATGGTTTGCCAAGCATAGTGGTGCACGCCTGTAATCCCAGTAGCTCCAGAGGCTAAGGCAGGAGGATCGCCAGCTGAAGGCCAGCGTGGGTGATTTAGAGACCATGACTCAAAATAAGAAGGGCTAGGGATATAGCTCAGCAATAGAGCATCCCTGGGTTCAATTCCCAGTACCACAAAAATAAATAATAAAGATGATTTGTTGTCAAGGCAGGAGGAGCGGGCTGTGTTTAATGGGTACCAAGTTTCATCTGTGGAAGATTAAAAGAAAAAAAAGCTGGGGAGATACAGGTGGTAATTAGGTAACATGAAGGAACGTAATGCCACTGAACTGCACACTTGAAAATGGTGAAAATCATGAATTTTGTTATAGTTTGCAATGACAGTTGGATAAGCTTTTGAAAATAAAAGTATTTGTCGAATACTTAAATTTTTCATCAAATGCTTTATTAAAATGGTGTTTCAATGCAATAACCGTTTCTAAACTAAAACAAGAGTTTCTATCTCAAAGTCCTATTTGTATGCCCCTGATCATCAGATTTTGATTGGTGAGCCATCAGCAATAAATAGCTATAACTCCCAGCAAAAACACTAATTCTTGAGTCTTTAACAAAATGAAGACACGGGGAGATAAGGGTGGTTGCTTCATTATTACACCAGAGCCAAAATGACTGGTTCCGTCTGAGCTGATTCTCTCTTGTAGCTGTAGATGCTACTATAATTACCCTCACATTTCTAGTCAACTTTTATTACCACCTGTTTAATATTCTGAATATCCAAAACTGTTGTGCCATGTGCTTCACAATTATATCACCAGAATCCCTGGGATCACAGACAGCCCGTGACTTACAATACCGCCAGAGATGTCCAAGTCCTACTAGGGGCACAGAATGATTTCCTTTACCCTGACCCAGTCTCCTTACTACATGGTATGATTTGAATGTGTCCCCCAAAGGTTTGCTGGAAGGTGGCCTCTAGGGTGTCCATACTGAGGTGATAAAGTCTTTAAGAGGTGAGGCCCAGTGAATGGAAATCAGGGCACGGAAGCACTATGCTTGGAGGGAATTAATGCAGGTCTCCTGGGACTGAATTAGTTCCGGGGAGACTAGGTTTTAAGGGAGCCTGGCATCTCCTCTGAATCTGTCTTCCACACACACCCCCACTCTGTGATGCCATCGAACTTGAGGCCCTGTGACGAGCCAAGCAGATGTCCACACCATGCTCTTGAACCTCCAGAACCATAAGCAAATAAAGAAGCCAGCTCAAGCAATATTTATAGCAATAAAAAAGTGAGGAATATACTACACTTAGCAAAAGTCACCAGTTGTTAATTAATACACAATTTCTATTTGATTATCTGAATTGTGGACATTTATACTATCAGAATGTATAAGATAGATCAGTCACATATGAAGTTATTCAAAGGAGCTACTTCTCTAGTGATATTTATGTTGAAATGTTATTTTGTTGATAGGTAAAGAGAAACTTCAAAATCACAAGAAATATTTTGTCACATAACTAACACTCGTTACAGTGTAGAAATTAGAATTTAGGGATATTGATGGAGGTAGAAGCTCTGTTGCCTAAGAAGGTAAACACAAGCCAAAGCAGCAGATTCAAGAGAATTACCAAAATAGCCAGCTTTCTGTATACTACAATTTTTTGTTGTTACTCTCATTTGAAACAAGAGGAGACAGTAAATTAACCACACGTTTCTATGCCTTTGTTCAATATAATTCTCAGCAGTTAATCTCTTAAGCACCTGGAGTCACTGAGGATCAGCAACACCTTGGCTGCAGGCAAACTTTGTTCCCTTTAAAAAACCTCTAATATGGCATTATGTAAAAATGTGGATGTGTAACCGATGTGATTCTGCAATCTGTATTTGGGGTAAAAACGGGAGTTCATAACCCACTTGAATCTAATGTATGAAATATGATATGTCAAGAGCTTTGTAATGTTTTGAACAACCAATAAAAAAAAAAGGAAAAACGAAACCTGTAAAAAAAATAAATTAAAAAAAAATAAAAAACCTCCTGACTTTCAAGAGAAGGATGTTTCAAGTGGAAGTCTGTAAGTTAGTAAATAACAGAACAAGATAGCAAAGTACACGTAACTGATGTGAAACTAAAATTCTTCACCTTCAGAGTCTCTTCAAATATCTGATCTGGAACTTAATGACTGATGAAATTGGGATTGATGAAAATCGCCAAAGCCCTAGCTCAGCGGACACACATCTTCACACTTTTCTTGCCATAAATACATAGAAATCCCTACTCCCTGACAGACACTTTTCTAGGCACAGAGGTTTTGTGCTGCATAAAACTATTTTGTTGACATCAAGAAACTTACACTCCTTGGAAGAAGCCATGTGACAAGCACATAATAGGTAAAACAGCTCTAAGAATATGGAGGGGTGTGCGCCTGTAATCCCAGTGGCTCAGGAGGCTGAGGCAGGAAGATTATGAATTCAAAACCAGCATCAGTAATTTAGTGAAGCCCTGAACTTAGCAAGACCCTGTCTTAAAATTTAAAAATTACAAAGGACTGAAGATGAGGCTCGATGGTTAAGCTCCCATCTGTTCAATCCCGAGCACCAAAAAGGAAAAAAGAAAAAGAATATGGAGGGGAAAAGGCAGAGTAAGGGAAACATTCTGAGTAGGATAGGCAGGAACAGATTTCCTAATAAGGTAATCTGTGAATACAGCATTTGGAAGAGTAGTTGAAGAAGTGAAGCGCGTGGATCTGGTTTGAAAATATCCTGGGCAGGGATCCAGGGTGGAGTTCAGTGTGCCCCTTCTGAGGGTAGAATGCATGAGGCCCTGGATTCAATTTCCAGCAAAAAAAATTAAAATCATGAGGCAAAAGGAAGACCAAATGTAAAGTTCCTGAGCAAGGAATTTGCTTGGCCCCAGGGAATGGCACAAGCTGACATACTGGATATAGGCAGTGAGACAAAGGGTCCAGAATGACTCATGATTCTTCATGGGCAACATTTGGAACTGGATATCTAATTAGAAAGTGGAGATGGAAATTTACCTGGGGCATAAAAATTCTCTTCCAGATACTTGGAAATAGAGATAATGAAGAATAAAGGTTAAAACTGTTAACAGCATGTCTATAAATGCAACAGCTGTCATTGCAAAATTGACCGAGGGCTAGAGATGGGAGCATGTGTAACTCTGTGTGGTTTTCTACAAAGTGGAACAAGTAGAGAATGGAGCCATACCTGAGGTACTGTAGGGAGGATTAAGTGGTATAAAAGCTCCTTTCTGTTTCATAAACTGATCTACGCCATCCAAATGTCAAAGGTATTAGAGATACAAAAGAAAATGTCACATGGGGATAATATCCAATCAACCATATGTGTGCCCACACACATATTGTTTGCAACCAACTATCTGAAATTCAAATACACCCCAGAATCAATGCTATTAGTGTTATTTGGATAAAATTTCACTAGGTACATATTACAATGGCACATTCTACCCAGATTCCTTACATGTGTAAACCCAAACAAGAAAAGGAGAAATCGTACTATGTGAAACAAGTAGGGATGTAAAACTGCAAATTTTCCTTAAAAAGTGTACATTCTGCATTATGAACAACACGTTATGTTCTATTCAAGCCTTGAGTGAGGAAAACAAACAGCAGGGAATTTAGAAACAATGAGAGAAAAAATGAGAGATGTGAATTCCTTTCTCCTTGCATAAAGCTACTTCCCCCAAAAAAAGGTATATTAACACAAGAAAAAAGGATGATTTCTTTCAACCAAGCCGAACCTTCTGAATCCCTGGCATTAAATAAGATTAATACTACCTTCATATAAAAGCAAAATTATATATGAGCCTATTAAATTCAATCCATTTATTCAAGAAATCTTGAAAGCCAATTAATAGATCCATCCCTGCACATAATATATCTGTTCTACAGTGAAGCTGGTTAAAATTATTGCTCCTATGAAAAAACAGAACCCAAAATTTTTACTACTATGAATCCACGGTTAGTCAATCATGATAAGATATATTCATCATTTTGTGTCTTGTTTCACAAGTACCATTTCTTCTTAATTTGTTGCAAAACCCGTTTTTCCTTCCCAAATACTTAATTCCAGATGAAGTTTTCAAAAGTAAAGCTCATTTAAAAATATATGCACTTTTTTAATTCTGCAAAGTAATAGGGAAAAAAAGAATACCTCTTGTAAATGTGAGTCTTTCTTTTTGGCTGACAGATTCAAATGTTTATCAATTAGGCTATAATTCTTTTCTGTTTCTTTGTCGAACTTCTTTTTTTCTTCCTACAAATCAGAAAAAAAAGACAATTATGATTAAATAGAAAAAAAATTTATACACATCATGAATCCACTAGGATGCTCAAAATATGAAAATAAAACGAAGTCCCAGGGAACATGGAGCAATTCAAAAAAACATCTGTAACATCCAAGCCACAGCTTACAAATCAAGTCAGCATTAGGATCAGAGATGCACTTGATTTCTTTGAAGCCTATGCTATTTTTCAACTCTTCACTTACCACTATATTAAGAATTAATGCGGTCACTCATCCCTCACAAAAAGAATACATAAGAACAACATATAGTCTTAAAAAAAAAAAAACTTGGTCAATTTTGGCTTAGAAAAAGAATACATTTCAAATGTAATAGTTTGGCTCTAGAATTTTTTTTAAAAAAAAAATCACAATGATCACTGTTGGGGGAAAAAAACATCCAAGGAAAAATCTTCTTTCCTCAATGGCTGATGTAACAATAAAATCCTCTGGTCAGAAATGTTGTTCATATTCCCATACCTTACCAGTGATTTCTTAACACTGCCTAGAATATATATCAATAGATCAAAAGAGCCTAAAATAATATTGACATACTAGTGGTGAGCTAATTTGGTTAATATTACAAACATTTCTCAGGAACCTGTATTTGCTTTTCTTTTGCTATAGAAGCTTTTTGAGAAAACAAGCAAAATTTTAAGTGCAGCAAAGACAAACTATGCCCCCTCTTAAGCTGCTGGCCAACTTGGGAGGTGTTTAATAAACACTTTGAGCATCAATGAGTACATATCACATCCTCATGATAGCAAAATGTGTCTATCAAGTTGGGCACTAAAGCACAGGCCTATAATCCCAGTAGTTCAGTGGGCTGAGGCAGAAAGATCACAAGTTCAAGGCCAGCCTCAGCAACTTAATGAGACCTCAGCAATTTAGCAAGACCCTGTCTCAAAATACAAAATAAAAAGGACTGAGAGTATAGGCTAGTGACAGAATGCCTCCGGGTTCAACCAGAGTTTCCATGCTTCCCCCCAAAAAATAAATAAATGTGTTCATCAACTTCAAACTCTCCACGACTTCCTGGGAAGATACATTCCTGTCTGTTTTCTAACTTCTCTTTTCTTAAGTAAACAGTGAACTAGTCTGTCTATATCTGGTATGAGATTTCCCTCATAAATACTGTGAATTCTACTTCTTTGCATTTATCTCGCCCACTACATGGGACCACAAAGTTGTTTTTCAAACCTCCCACAGTATATCCTTACCAAATGTTCTAAAGGCCCTAAATTAATGCCAGCATTAATGGAAAAGAGTCTCAGGAATGGGAGTTTCTTCCCATTTCTAATCCAAGTCCAATTATCAACTTGCACCCAAAACAAAAACAAAAAACAACAACAAAAAAAACTAACCACTCATCTGACAGCACAGAACCTAAGTTTTCTTCTCAAAAGATCAAGGAGTATTTTCTACTGACTCACTCCTGGTGATCCCATGGTCCATCTATGTGAGAGAGGAACCCAAGAAATAGGCAGTTGTAACCTCTCATGTGTGTCACACTTGTTGAAACACAGACCTGCATTCTTCTTTATGCCCTAGTTGTTTTTTTTTTTTTAATTTACAACTTTTTATTTCATGTCTCAAGTATCAATATGTTACAGTCAGTCTCTTCTCTGCTTGTCATTATTCTCTTCATCAACAGAAAATAAACTCTTACAAATTCGTGCTACCTCAAAATCTCCACTAGCTTAAAAGCTGAGAGTGTGAAGAGTAGATCAAGACTCGGTGCCAAAATCTGGCCACTTTTTGCTGTGACATTGCACTAGGATCACAGCATTCTCCAAGCATCAGCTTTTTGGGTTTAAGAAAAGAGAAATGAGAATCACACTTCTGCTTTTTTTTTTTTTTTTAATCACAAAAGCACTACAAAACATCCATCATAGTAAGAAAGATTCAAATCCTTTACACATTCGTATTTACCAGGAATACAGAAAACCTTTTCACTCTCTTATCTGATTCAATCTGCATCATGGCAAGGGACAAAGGAAGGAGGTAAAATTGGAATTAGCAGACAAAACACCCAGCACATGCAGCAAATTAAGTCCTGGGTAAAGTTGGGAATGAAAAGAAAATAGTGATAACAAGCTTCCTAAATAAAGAATTTAGCCAAGAAACATTACACCCATCAATTATAATAGAAATACATGTGTTCATACATGCTACAGTCTTATACAAATGCTGCTGTGTTTTGCTTTAAAATCTCAAGAGGTTGAGAATTATTTCTTCCTGCATGTGTTCTGAATATGATTACAAAGAATTATTTTCATTATAATCATCTGATTTCTTGTGCTACAATCTTAAATTTAAAGGAAGCTGTAGTTTGCAGCATTCAATAAAGAATGGAGTATTTTCTTCTCAATACTGAATTATAATAGATATAAATATATCTATTAATTCTTAAAAAGAAAGATAGGTTGATAAGCCTAATTCAATAAGTTCCAAAGAGGATAAACTTAATCACAATGTGAAAATATTTCTTATAAAACAGACATCACAAACTCAAGTGAGTCTGGGCCAGGCAATCATATAAGACATGAAATCGACTAGAAAAGAAACACTAGGAAAAAGTAGGGCAATGGAAGCCAAGATCTGCTCCAGAGGGAAGGCTCCCATAACAGCCACCACGTGGGAATACAAGCCCACCACACAGGCCACCTCCAAATTTTCCAGAAACAAAGCTGAAAAAGATAATGGTTTATAAGGGTGGCAACAAAGTTTTGCAAAAATTTAATGAGTAAGGTTTTGTTTACAGACTAAATATGACTCATAGGAAATTAGTGCATAATCAATTGTAATATTGCATGTGTTAAAAAAAAATGAAATACTACCAGAGTAACTGGTAGAATAAGACCTATTATGTATGAATGGCAGAGGGAGTTTATGAACCCAAGAAGCACAATTCAAATAATCAGATCTTTCAAACACCATTGGAAATAAAATATATAAAGATGCCATCAGCAATCACTGGGTTTAAAATAAAGATTATTAATGTTCGGTGCTCAAATAATTGCTTAACTACTGGGAAATAGAGAACCCCACCTCATATCAAAATTAATTCCAGATGGATTGAGAGAGAGTCACAAGTAAAAAATGAAGCCATAATACAGACAAAAGTTTTCATTAGATCAGCAAGAAATACCAGGACCCTCTGGGCAAAAAAGAAATAAAAGCTGTAAGAACTTGTAGGTATCACAGCCAGGTGCGGTGGCGCATGCCTGTAATCCCAGTGGCTCGGAAGGCTGAGGCAGAAGAATCCCAGATTCAAAGACAGCCTCAGCAACAGGGAGGCACTAAGCAACTCAGTGAGACCCTGCCTCTAAATAAAATACAAAATATGGCTGGGAATGTGGCTCAGTGGTTGAGTGCCCCCGAGTTCAATCCCTAGTACCATCCCCCCATCCAAGAAAAAGAACTTCTAGATATCACAAAATCATCATCATCAAACTGAAGCCAGAATTGACACAGGCAGTCAGTATAGGTAGATAAATCAGGTCAGATCAAGGAGGAAAATTTGGCTAGGAAGTGAAAGAGGAATTAGAACACTAATGCCTTCAGAGCCCTTCCTCTACTCTTAACAAGAAAACCCACCCCTGCCCCAACGTGTTGCTAAAGTAACCTGTTCCAGAGATTGTCCCTCCCTACAGGGAGTTGTTAATTATGCCCGCTTCCCGCCAGGATCACTCCACCTTGGCCCCTCCAGCCCACCTGTTTCCCACCTTTTGGCCATCCCACCAAGGGGGCCTAGTCATATAAGCAGGAAAGAGCTCTCTTATAAGGGCAAGAAAGCAGGAGAACAAAGGAAGCCTAAGACATACAAAAAAGGTAGAATGTGCTCACCTCTGGGGATATCAGGATACCAGCTATGGCCCCCTTCTTCCTCCCAGGAGAAGCCTAAGTTACCCTTTTGTAAATAAACCCTGCTTTATATGCTTGCCTCCTGCACTTCCCTAATGTCAAACTTCAACATGTGAGGAAGCAGGACGGAGCCATTGGTATCAAAGCTACCAAACAAGGTGGGGGGAAACTGCAACCAAAATGCCAGCAAAGAAATAAACATTCTTAACAAAGCATCCCACGGTTAGCAAAAAGCACGCGTGGTACTACCTCTGTGGAAAAATGGATCAAGAACACAAATCATTCATGAAAGTCTGAAGAGAACAATGAATTGCCCAGTAATTTAATATGGTACTGGAATTTTTTGGCTTTGTTTTGAGAGGAGGAACTAGACGATTTTTGAGTTTCCTTCATTTTTAAGAATGAGGGAATAAAATGGCTTATATTGAAGCTAGAAATGTTAAATAATGTTTATTGTTGGACTAGTCTGGAGAAGAGCCCAAGTGCTTTTTAGATTCCAATTCCTTCTCCCTTTTTATTTAAATGAAGAACTCAGAATGCAGAGAGTAGACAAAAATCTAATCTGCTTGGCATGCTGATAAAGACCAAGTTATAAAGTAGCAGAACAATTGCAGTGATGTACATCAGACCTATACTAGACATGGGAAGTATATTACCAAATTCATTGCATTATCAAAATAACCTTCCGAGATAGATGTCATTGGTCTAATTTTATATATCATGAAACTGAGGTTTGGCGGTCTTAAGTAATTTGCCCCAAATCAGCCCCAAATCCCACAGCTCGCTAAGGCATGGAAAAGAGGATTCAAACCAGGAAAAGAGCAACTTCCTGCAAGCCTTTTTGGTGTATTCAACCCTGAGTGGAGGGTGCATTTCAGAGGGCCTCCGCTTAGCCCTCCAATGCCACTTTCCAGGGCACATTTTATCCCCCCCCCCATTTTTTTTTTTTTAATTTCACAGATTCCCATATAGCTACTACCTACTTGAATTCTGGCCAGTCAGTATTTTTAATTCATTGTTTTGTCTGAGGGCCTCTCACACTGTGCCAACAATGGACAACAGTATGTTTCATTACTAAAAGAAATGCAATTACATCAGCATTTTTGCTTTATCAAACAACTTTATATGACAAATTATTCAGGTAGGTTTGTTATTTACCCATATTTTGCGGTCATTTATAGAACATTGGTAAATCAGTTATTAGACATTTATTTCACCAGACTTAGGTCTTGGGAAAAATACAAGAGAAATTTGGGCAAGAGTCTGGTAAAGGATTGAGGTGGTAAGTCAAACTATATGAAAACATTTTTTTCCAGTCCTGTTTAAACTTTTAGATAAAATTATATTTGCCCCTTTCTAAGAACTTTTTCACAGACTATTGTCAATACAGTTTAGTTGGGTACACTTGGTATTTGCATGCTGTTGCTGCTTCTCTAAATCCACATTTGTGTTATTTGATTGGATGGATATGCTAGTTTTTTTTAATTAATTTACATGATGCTGAGGATGGAACCCAGTACCTTACACTTGCTAGGCAAGCACTCTACCACTGAGCCTCAACCCCAGCCCTGATACACTAGTGTTTAATTCTAACTTTTTTGGCTAATCAACTAATGTTTACTGAAGACTTAATATTTCCATGTTTTAATCTCCTGTAGTTTTTATAATAACCTTGAGGTGTTATATTCCCATTTTGTAGAGAAGCAAACTGAGGCATGAAGAGGTTACATTAATTTCTTAAAACATGCAGCTAGTTAGCATCATAACTGAGATATGAACCTGTATAGTGACTTTGTAGACAGTTCTTCCAAGTAGGATGCAATACCACCTCCCCGCAGAGGGCAGAGCCAAGTCCAAAGTCAAATGCAAAGTGTCTTTTAAGGTTGGAGGGATTCACCATGCCGCAGATGGGTGAGGAATAGTGACCTGGTATGTACACTGAGGGGAGAAAAATCCCCAGAGTCTCTCATGTTTCTCCATTTCTCCATGCAAAGGTATTGACAGCCTTGGGTTCAGGACTATTTTTTCAAGGACGCCTGCATATTCTACGACCTTAGAAGATAGAGTTAAAATCTCCCTCTCGAACAAAAAAAAGGGGGGGGGTGGTTACTGCAGAGTATTATGAGATAATGCCTTCAGTTATGACAAAGTTTGGCAAGTTTGCCTGCAGTCCACTGGGGATCTTCAACTGAAGATGAAACCCCTGTTTGTGTAGTATCTCCCAGGGCCACTCTGTATTACCACCTGGGACTCGAGGGTCAAGAGTAATGGATGTTAACAAGAATCTCAGGTGGCTTACTTTGTGCTAAGGGTAATAAAGCTCCTTGTCTTTGGGCCAGGGGTCTCGTGTCTTTTGCTTCCCACTGTAACTCTGAAGTTGTGCCCTGGTATTTCTCAGAGGTTTTACTCAATGTTTGGTTCTTTTGTTGTTTGGTATCTATACCAGTTTCCTGTGGATAAAATCAGCATCTTATGAGCAATGGCTACCAAAGCACCATGGAATGCTGGTGCACAAGCGCGCCCTCCTCCAGGGAGGGAAAGAGCCTGAAGAGGAGGTAAGGCAGACGTGAAGCAGATAGAAAGGCTTCTGTCCTGTGATGGCACAGGGACTTCTGCCCAGGGGTGAGAATCAAAAAGAACTTAAGAAAATGCAGCAGAGCCTACAAAACAGAGAGAGGAGCCAGAACCAGACAGACATGACTCAAGGAGGGCATATCTATACAGATGCAAAGGTGGAGAATCCTCATTGGGGCTTTTGGCAAATCCCATTTACAAAAACCTCCAACAACTTGGACTATGTTTGAACCACAGTTAAACAAACATGTAATTGGGCTTCTGGAAATTGGAGAAAGTAAGAGTCCATGGAACCAAAAGAGCTTCGATAGAAAGGCAAAGGGTATGACGTTACCAGACAGGAAAAAGAGGAGGAGGAAAGATAAAAATGTTCATACTGACATCTAAAAATTCGGTGTGGTCAAGTTAAGGGACTTTTTTTTAATCTCCACATGAAAACTGCTATTTAAAAAAAAACTCTTTAAAATGTCCCACATAAGATTAATAAAGAAATAAAAGTGAGTGCTTATTAAAATAGAATTGAATGATTAGAAAATGGATGCAGAAAATCAAACATCCAAACTTCAAGCCTCATCCTGGTAATTCTAGAGGTCAAAGAACAACCTTAGGCTAGGCTACTAATTAGATATCTACTACAGTAAGGCAGGGCAGAGGCTAGGATGAAGAAAGTTAGCAGTCTTTTAAAGATTTAACCATCTATTGAACAGACAAGGTATTTATATATTGATGTAGAGCCTAATCCACCTCTCTAATGTTTTTATGATATATGAAAAACTGCCAGTTAAAAAGGGCTTCTTGTGGGGTATGGTGGTGCACCCCTGTAATCCCAGTGGCTTGGGAGGCTGAGGCAAGAGGATCATAAATTCAAAGCCAGCCTCAGAAATTTAGCAAGGAGATCCTATCTCAAAGCATAAAAAGGGCTGGGGATGTGGCTTGGTGGTTGATTGAGTGCCTCTGGTTTCAATCTCTGGTATTCCCCTCCCCCCCAAAAAAAGGCGTCTCCCTAGGACCCAAAAGGACTGGCTCCTTGCAGCCAACACACATACTATCCTGAACAAGAATGAAGAATAAATTCATCATAAACCTGAATCCAGGAGTACAATGGAAGGGGAAAGAAAAGAGACTTTGAGAATGTGGTAACTACACAGCTCAAGGCATAGACTAAACTACTAAAATAATACTTCTTTAAAAAGGGAAAATTATTTTGCAAGTTTTGCTAGACAATCGTATCATCAGAAGCTTGGAAAGTGCTGGGTGGGGCAAAGAATCAACAGAAGATTCTATTGAAGGTCAATAGAAGGCCAGAAATATATAAAACCCAGGAGGGTAGATAGCTAAACATATATATTATATATGTATGTATATATAATACATATATTCATTGGTAAGATTACACTCATTTTTCATTTGCAAGATAACATTTTTGCCTAATCCACAAGAAATGAAAATTGCATACATGCTGTACCAATCAACCAGTTAAAATAACTGATATGTTCAAGTCCAAAATAGCTTAGACGCTATTGGGCGGGGAGGGGAGACATGAAATTACAAAGCAGATCCCTAGAGTCCTTCCATTTACAGATAAAGCCAATTATTTTCAGAGAGATGAAATGAGGCCCCCAATATCCTGCTGCAAAGCCAGGGGCACAACCCAGATGCATACAGTTCAGCAAACATCAGAAAGATCTGGAGGTGCTCACACATACTATCCCCTACCTACACAGTATTGATTTATAGTCCTCCATTAAAAACTATAAAATAGTTTATCACTTAAAGGAAAATGGATTCTGTAAATAGCAACTAAAATGCTGGAATGCTTCGGCCCATCTGTGTAGTTACAGCTATTGAGGCATCTGTTTATTTGTACCAAGGGATTTTAACAGGTTTTTTTAGGAAGATAAAGGAGGGAAAATAAAAAAAGAACTCACATATCCAGACATGTGGGGAAAAAAATATAAAAACCACCTTCTCTACCTAAAACTGATATTGTTTTTCTCTCTTCAGGCCAAGCCAAAAATGGTCCACAATACACTAATGTCACTTTTTTTCTCCTCAAGTACATACAAAATGTTCAAGAAAGACTGGTGAAAATTATTTCTCTGGGATAGCTGAAAAGCTCAGATCACAAACTTTAGAAGTTGCTAAATATATCCCAGGCTCCCTGTGGCAAGTCACTGTATTAGTCCCAGAAATCCTGGCTAAATCCCAGATCCTTGAGCAGAGAGATTACAGTTCACTCATGTATGAATCCCCAGTACACCACTACCCAACATGCCCTACTACAGCAACCTGGTATGTAACAGAAGCTCAACAAATTTATTCAATTTCAGGAAAGTATGTTAAATTATAAAAATAACAACAATGTCATGTTATAAAATAATTTAATATTCTTCCTAGCTTCAATGGCACCATGGTGTAAGCAGAATCTCTATACCCTTAAGCCCTATTACAAAGCTACAACCTCCCTAAAATAGAGGTGTACATGGAAATAACCATACTCCCTATAGTGATAAGATCCCTCTATTCAGAGTAATGTGTTGTTTGGTTAAAGATATTTTTAAAACTCCATATGCCAAGGTGTAGCCAGGTGTTTTTGTTTTGTTTTCAATTTCATCTCCCCAAAGGGGAAAAAGCATACTTAAAACATAAAACAACAGATGGTTGGCTCCAGCATCTCCCAGGAAGCTGCCAAATGTGAACAAAGTATACAATGAAGTAGCAGAGCCATCTACATTTTCTGTTTACAAGTGTACTCAAGTTAGACACAAACCTTTACAGCTCCAAGTTGCTCTTTTCTGAATTTTTCCAAGGGTTTAATCAGGGTTTCAGTTACGCTTAATGCCTAGAGAACAAGAAGGATAACAAAAGAGCATAGCATTAGGTTTCCAAAAAGGAAAACATTAGTATTGCATTTCCCTCCTCCACTCCACCCAGAAATAAAATGAGCAACACATTTAACTGCTTTATCTCACCCTGCCAATCCAAGAATTAAATCACTTCCCATCTTACTAAACCGCTAGAACTCATAAATATTGTTAGGGGAGAAGAACCAGGGCAGCTGGCCAGGACCACATGCAACACAGCCCCACGCTCCTCCATGAAGTGGCCAGAGGACCATCTTTACACAAAGGGTCTAACACATCCATTAACAGAACACTTCTGTTCGAGATATTTTTTTCCTCCTCCTCCTCCTCAGAAATTTAAAATTCAATTACATTCCTTCATTGGTAATCAGACTACATTAAGGAAAGGGATAGAATTGTGGCTACTCTTTAAAATAAAACCAGTCTAAAGAATTCCTTCAGTACTGAAGAATTCCTTGTAAGGATTTAAGGCATATTAGCACAGTGGAATTGCTGGAGGCCCAGGAAAGTCAAGGAAAACATTTGGGTGCGCTGGCAAACGTACATCAGGGAAGGCCCACAGGACAGGGGCCACCCACCAACTCCAGCCACAACCACATTCATTCCTTATATTGGCTGATGTGGGCTTTTTGTTCTATGCCACAAAACACTGAAAATACAAACCAAAGAGAATATTCACCTAAAGAGAAAAAAATAGGCTGAGCAGTGGCTCCATCAGCCTTTATTCCCAGGGAACCAGGAATATCCACAATGTGGTTGGGAAGGAATCATCTTTAAAATACTACACAAGAATATGTCATCCCTCTTTTCTCAAGAGCCCCCAAAAACCCAAGATTAAAAATACAGAAAAACAGGCTGGGGTTGTAGCTCAGCAGTAGAGCACTCGCCTAGCACAAGCAAGCACCTGGGTTCAATCCTCAGTACCACATAAGAATAAATAGAATAAAGGTATTGTGTCCAACTAAAAAAATAAATATTTTTCAAAAATACAGAAAAACAAATATAAGTGACTTAGAATAGGAATACAATTAAAAAAAAAAAAAGAAAGAAAGCACAGAATTGGGGATAGAACCCAGGGCCTCATGCATGCCAAGCAAGCTCTATCACTGAGCTTTACATCTCCAGCCCTTAGGGAGGATTTTTAATTTAACCAAAGGTTCCTCTGCAGTGTCTCATGCATGAGATACGTGTTTTTTCCCCAAGGAGACCAGTAACACTGTAAGATAGGGAACACCTCAGTGACTACGACCACAGTAAGAGGCCCATGGTCTGAGCTTTCTGCCCCAGGCTGGTTTACTGGGTTCCACTCAAAAGAGATAGGATGCAGGGTGCATTGGCGCACATGGGTAATCCCGGTGGCTCTGGGAAACTGAGGCAAGAGGATTGCAAGTTCAAAGGCAGCCTCTGCAAAAGTGAGGCGCTAAGAAACTCAGTGAGACCCTGACTCTAAATAAAATAGAAAATAGGGCTAAGGATGTGGCTCAGTGGTTGAGTGCCCCCGAGTTCAATTCCTGATACCAAAAAAAGTTTAAAT